ACAGAACAGGAAGACGCACAACTTCCTTCACCATAAAGACAGAAAACATGGAGGCTCTGTGCATACCAAATGGCACGGCAAATGCTGATGACTAACTGAGCCTCAGACCTGCACCACCTGCTTACTGAGACTCACTGATGCCAACATTACAGAGGAATGGTTTTAAGTAGCACCCTGTAGCTATACTCAGAGACAAACCACCTGATGAATTTAAAGTGATTTTATGCTAATGTTTAAAAAAAGCAACTGGTGCAGAAAAATGTGTTTAATCTATCATAAAAAAGACAAGTGACTCACTCATTCGGTCAATGTTTTGAAGCTAAATTATTAGCGACTCTTTCTGCTGATTATGTTAAAAGTCAGACTGAAACATTTTAGGATCATATTAAGCAGCGGAAGAAATTTGAGCTGTAAAAACTTTGTTTGCATTCAGATTTAATATTCAATAATAGATGTAACTATCATTTAGGGATGCAAACATAAAAAAAGAATAATTGTATTCAGCAGCAGCAAACATAACAGTTAGACCAGAGGACATGTGCAGCGTTTCACAGCTATAGAGAAGGATATCTCCCTCTGGAGTTAGAAGAGATTTATCACACATTCAGCTGCTTCAGGATGTTTTCAGGACCCGGTGCTTTGGCCACATTGCTGCCCATGCAGGCAGTATAGAATCATAATAATAAATATAAAACCGGTTTGTTAGATTCAAAGCAGAACACATTCAAAGTTGAAATTGTGATCATGAGTGCTTAGTTTTAGATTTAAATGTAACTTATTTTCAACTTTTCGTGTTTTTTTTTATATTGGCTGGAAAAAGAGTGTAAAAAAGTGGGCATCCCTTTTAAATAAACACTCGACTAGATGTTTTATTTTCTCAAAATAATTCTGTTAACATCGATGATACTGTACYTTGGAGATATTTGCTTCACACTTGTAAAGAAACGCGTCAAACCTGAATAATAGTCTATTATAATGCAATTTAACGCTAATATTAGTGTATTATAGAACAATTGAARGCAGTTATTTGCCTATACCAGTGGTGTTTTCTGCAGCAGCTCAGCTCTGACTGAAAACGCTGTGAACAGCACACAAAATAAAAAGCTGATTTAATTTTTACTGCAAAACATGATGTCGTACACATAGCACATGGATTACCTGCACTTATTTTGTCTTTATGTTACACATGAACTATAACACGCAACAATGAATTAGTCCAGTAAGATTCAAATGCATTCRACTTCAACCAAATGAAAGGCATGTTTAAGTGAATTAATCATTCAGTTACATATCCCTCAGCGAGTCATTTCTAGAAATTAGCTGCAACAGTGTGACACATGGTGTTTGCCATATGCAAATTTATGTTCCCTCTATCGCGATAGTAAATCACTCCCACGCAGAACAGGAGCGTAGAGCAGGACAAGAGTGGGACGCAAGCCTATCATTTAAAGAATCACTTCTATGATCGCTGCTGGTTTTAAATACCTCTGTTTAATTGCTGTGTCATGACAGAATAATTACTACTGACTGCATAAGCACCGAGGGGAAGCAGCAGGCGGGCAGCACTTTTTGTCTGYTCCGTGGCTCTGCAGGGGCTTGTGGTGACAGGCCGGCAGGAGGATGATGATGAATTAAAATGAACGTGAGAGCCTGAGCAGGTGGGACTTTCAAAGAGGGATAGGTAGTGCTTAAAAGCTCCTTTTAAAAAAAATCCAGCTTTGATTGACACTTTTCTTATTTGAGTGAATGCACTCCTCGCTCCAGTGKGATAGATTTTCCACAAAGATCCTGGCTGGATGTGATTGCATGCTAATCATAACCCTCACTCAGAAAAAAAAATGGGCATTTTTAATAAAACTCCAACGGATGATTGTTGTTAGAGTCCTTTTGTCTCTAATAAATGCCCTGTTATCACATGGGTTTCTAACAAACCCCTGCTACATTAATGAATGCACTGTTAAACCTGCATCCTAAATCTGATTACTGACATTCTGCATTAGCAGCCCTCTTTGCCTCATCACTGATTTCACACAGCTGGCAGCTCTAATAGAGATCAAAAAGTATCTCTTAGAAGACATTTTAGAAAAATGAAAAACTCCCTTCAAGGTACATCTGACTGTGATAAYTCCCATAAAGCAGCATGTTTTTAAATGAGTCCTGGCTGTGATTTCAGCCTCTTCTGCTTGGCTGCCGGTAGCGCACAAGAGCTGGATGTAATTCAGGTGTTAAAAGGAAAAGCTGTAAAAAGCAACAAATATCTGAATAAGGCATCATAAATCAAGCGGGCGCCAAGAATACAAAGTGTCATGTTCGAATTTCTGATCTGTAAACAAGTATTCATTAACGTTTATGAAGAGGAACCACAAGACTATGTTTTTGTCTTTTTGTTGAGGCATCGTTTAAAGTTGAAGCTGCTGAGAAGTAGATGTGTGGGTTTTATWTGAGAAAATTTGTCATATTACTCAAAATATTACTTAATCTGAAAACTCACTTGTTATTTGACTTTAGAATTGATACAGAAAGAGGATTTGTAGAGGATCAAAGATATGAAAAGAATGTTGAAACTCAAAYAGCCTTAACTTACTCTTTGCTGCATCCAAACTGGATTTAGCTTCTCATGAACATGATGGAATGAATAATGAAGACAGGGATTTGGAAAATGACTTTTAAAAACCTAAATATGATCAAAAATAAGGGATTTTGATTTAAAAAAGCATATCAAAAATAAAAGTTTACTTATTCATGCTGCTAYCCCATCTCTTTTTGCATTACAACTATAGACCAGTGTGGATGTAAGAGACATAGAGAGGATGTCTACAAAAATCCTTTTCTAAAGCTTTTTTTTTTTTCTTTTACCTATTGGAAGCATCACACAGCTAATAAAAAAGATACTATGAGATACAGTTTTTCAAAGAATTAAAGAAAAATTCCCCTACTTTAAATACACAGTGATGTGGGTTTGCTACAATGATGCAAGTGCTAAAAACTGCAATATTTCCTTTCATAAAAGATGCTTATGTTTATGAAAATAAAGCAATAAAGTAGTGTCTATTTTGTTTTTTCTAGGACTGAATCAATCCAGCCCATCAGTGACCTTATTTTTGATAAACACTGAAGGAGATAAATGACTGACAGACAGCTGGCGTGGTCTTCAGGAAACTAGAACTGGGTGTAGAGAGAGATTAAAAAAAACACAAAGCAAGGAATGGATCTTTTTGCAAAGGGCTCAAAAGGTTCAATCAAGGCAATTTTCATCTGTGGGTTATTGAAAATCACACATTTACTTGAATTTATATCAGAATATTTTAGTTAAAAATATAAATACTAAAATATCAGACATTTCCACAGCAGATGCTGATTATTTGAGGACTCTGATAATCACTCTAAGGCACTTTTTTCTTGATTTTTGAATATATATTTTCAACAAATTTCAGGCAAATTATGAAGCATTGGACACAGTTTATGTCATTTATGTAAATGAGCTTGATTAAAAAAGGTTTGTGCTTTTAAAACGGGTAGCCATTGTATTGCTTGACTGATCTCAGCAAGGGTTTTTACAAGTATACATGTCAGACAAATAAATGCAAATAAGACACCTTGATTAGAATACAATACACCTCATCAGGAGTCAGTAACAATCTTCAGGCATTTTTTTCCCTCCTGATTATAGGTTCAGAAGGTAGGCATTTGTCYTAAAGATGGTCTCTACTTTTTTTTTTTACAGAGACATAAAATTACAAAAATAACATTTCTGTTGTGGTTACTAACCTTTGTTTTTAGATGATTTCTTGACATATAAAAAACACTTTTGTTCTTTGTTCCTTTAGTTTTTAGATCCAGTTTTTGTACAAACATAACTGATTTGAATGAAAGTTTCAACAAAGTATTACATTTGTAAAACTTGGTGTTATATGTCTTTTAATAATCAATTTTCTTTTTGTGGCTCTTGACAGACTCACTGTAAAAGAAAATTAACTGCGAGCTTATACTCCCCTCTAGTGGATTAAAAATGTATTGATTCTATTGACTGACCAGACTATGAACTGTGTACTGATTTTCCAGTTCTTGCAATACACTTTATGAACACTTATATACTTTTTTTAATACTCAAACACAGCATATGGGATTTACATTATGCAGCAGAAGTGTGTGTGTGTGTGTGTGTGTGTGTGTGTGTGTGTGTGTGTGTGTGTGTGTGTGTGTGTGTGTGTGT